AACAAAAAAAGTAGTGAGAATTTAAATTTTTTTCTTTCAGGTATTATTGTTTGATGGATGGACTAGGCAAATACTGACAGCCCTTTAGATCTACCCTGCAGTTCCTTCCATGGAAATCTCTAGACAAATAATGGGTAGGGGAAAAAGGTGGGGAAAGGCATTCTTTTAATTACAATTCTTAGATTATTTGCTGTTGTCTTGGCCGTGGTTTTTCAATGGAATGTGTACCCTGGGAAAGTAGAAATTATCTCCTTTGATATTCTCTCCCTGTATAGGACCTATCAGGGAGTTCCTTGGCCTGGAAAAAATTACTTTGTTTTCTCAGAGCTTTCTTCCTTCGGATAGGGTAGTAAGCATTTCACACTATATTTGCAAGAGAAACGAAGAATGGGTGTCTTGAGCATCAAAACCATTGCAGAGGAAAGCTGAATGTGGAGAAGATTATAAATAATGATGTTGAGAAATCCAGGTCCTTGGCAAAATAGGGAAAATTTTAAAAGCTTTCCAGAACTTCTTTTTCCAGATAGTATTAGGCATTCTCTCACATAACCCTTTACAGTTGCATGGCTTCAGAGTTTACACAGAAAATGTTCACGAACATTGTCTTAGTGGACTATTTGGCAATGCTATGAGTAGACAGGGCAGCATCTGTGTTTATAGCTGTTTTGCAGACAAAATGTACCTTGTGGATGGAAAGGCTAGGACTGTAGTCCAGGCTTTCTGAGTCTCAATCCATTATATCCTATTGTCTTTCTGAGATAAAGATATTACCTCCTGGGTTATACGTATGGCTCACCTTTGATGCTTTAATGCCTGAGACCTTACTGGAGTCTCTTTTAGTGATGATGTGTGTTATGCATTTTTCTTATATCGCTAGCATAACATATTACTGTTACCTCTAATAAAGAAGAGAAAGAAATGTCAAATACAATCTGAATATGTCATGTAGAGCATTAAAAGTTTAGGTATCTATCTTCAAAGTTATATTTTAGGGATGACAAAAGAAGGGATGAGTGAAGTATGGAAACTAAGAAAATAGAGTCCTGTCATATGGATCAATGTTTACTTGACTGTATAAGCTCTTGGATATGCCATCCATGATACATAGACTTGGGTCAACATTAGGGACCTTTATCATGGGCAAGAGCCAGGTCTTGCCTTTATAGTAATATCACCTCAGAGGCGATCTCCAGTTTATCAGCAGTTGCAAAAATGCAAATTCCATCAGTCTTCTGTTATTGCCCCACAAATTTAGAACAGGACCCCATGCAAGCTGACTCCTGTCATTGGAAAAATAAAATGTTCTGCTTTTCAGAACAGGAGGTCAGAGTTTCATTGTAGAAAATGAATAAAGAGAGAAAACAGACCAGAAAACATTAGTGGTTTCAAACACTGGACTAGGATAACTCTCATTAGAATTTCTGAACAAAGTCTGACAATGCTAGATTATTTATAAAATTTAAAAACTTGTCATTTTTGTTCCAAAAGAGTGATGTGAGTTAGAAGGGTATATGTTTATGTGTCAAACAGAGATGATATTGGAAATATTTAGCAACCAGTACAGTGCAGCACTTTGACCAATTAGACAAGATGCTCAGATGCTGTCTCTGGAGCTGTGACGGGGTTCCCAATGTCCCCAGCTCTGCCAGGTATTAACGTTTAAATTGCTGGATTTGGGAGGATGGGTCCAGGGAATCCTTGGGAAGAGATGGCAGTGATGACACATTGAAGGAACTCTGGAGGGGGTTATTTGCTTCAGAGCCACGGTAATTTACCGATTGGAATTCAAGTATTTCAATATCTTAACAAGCAGAATAGTCATTCTGATATGTGCCAACTTAATCTTAGATCTACCCTTACGCAAATTTATGGTTATCTATCCGAATGGCTCTTGTAAACTGCTGGGCTCCCTTACCTCATTTTAACATAAAGGCGTTCTGAAAACAATGGATGTATTCACCAATAATTTTCCTATATCACAGCAAATAATCACAAGTGAATGGGAATCACAGTGATCAGTAATATATGTTCCAAGGAGCATGCAGCCTTCTAAGTTTCCCTTCTGTTTTCTTCTGGGAGTAATATCTTAGCCTCGACTCATAGTATGTCAGCACAGACTCTGATATCCCCCCTGCATCCAGGGAGAGAGTCTCATTAAATCGCCAAATATTTATTGAATGCCTACAACCGGAACGAGCTATAACTTAGAATTTTCAGGGGTCTTCATTCAAAATTTCAGCCCATTGGAAAATAAATATTTAACAGCAATAACATCAAGAGCCATTAGTATCAGAGCCGAAGGACTCAGGAAATAGATGGCCTGGCCTGGCCTTGCTTTTCTCTGGACATATATACGAAGAGATCTGGGCAAAATGTTTGAGGACTGACATCCCCTCCAAGTTTTATGGTTTAGGTGAAATAGATATGACTGATGCATTGGTGTGTATAGCATTTTAACAGCCTGTATGGAATGTCTAGATATTTCTTATGAATTAAAGGAGATCTTTTTGAGGATTTTTGATCCTTACTGGCAGAGCTGCTTCTTGCTTCCATGAGGCCTTTTTATAAGCTACAAAATGGTGCCATATCATCTGACGATCCTTTTAACAGGACCACTTTGTGTAAACCACACTCTGCACCTGTAGTATATGGCAGGCCTTTCCCACTGGCTTCCAAGTTTCCATGCCTTCCCAAACCTGTTGGCATGATAGTGTCCCTCAGGCCTGTGGCAACCCTGCTCCCTCGGGTGTCATGGCCTTGAGGCTTGGAGGAGTACATTTACCTGTGTTTGATAGCAGGAGAGTCTTTTGGGCATCTGGGAGTTCTAGAAAGATCATTGCTCTGGGGGAGTGGTCAGATATGCCGGGTTCTTCTGCCACTCTGCTGCCCATCTCTGTGTGACCTTTGTTAAGTCACACCCTCCTCAGGACATAATTTCTTTATGGGAAATTGATGGTTAGGCGATTCTGACCGAACAATCAGTGTCCTCCTGTCTAACAGCAGTGGATGGCCTGGAGCTAACTTCCGTATTTACAGATGTTAATGAAAATCAGACAATGGTCCAGATGTTCATATGTGTTATTACTTAATAAAATGTGGTTTGTTGAACAACATTTTGCCAGCCATGAGTCCTTATGAGAGAAAGTCTAAAAGGAATACTCAGAACAGATTAGTGACTGGTAGATAATCTCTGGGTCGATATAATCTCCAGATAAGCTTCTTTATCTGGGCTATGACCTGAAGAACAGGGATGGAAAACACCTTCAAAGGCATAGAAAAAGTAACATTTATCAAAAAACAAAATCCACTTTACTGCTATTTGAACTTAGCATTTTACTATCAAAGGATAATGCTACTAGTTAAAAGTCAAAATATAGTCTAAGACTAGCAGTGTCACCCACAGCTGGTTGGAAAGATAAGTTCTTGGTCCCCAACTCAGATGTACTCAATCAGAAACTCCGGGGGTGGGTTTTACAATCTGTGTTTTCACAAGCACTCCAGGAGATTTGGCTGTCCGCTAAAGTTTGAGAAGGATGGAAGCTTTTTAACTTCTCAAAGTTGCTTTATAAACTAAATATCACTTGATTCTCATCATCACCTTATGAGTGTCACTTAGACAACTACTTTTACTCCCATTTAATATATGGTGAACACGCAAAGTCGAATGACCCAGGATCATATAGTCAGTTTTATATATTAATTATTTATCTCTTGGCATGTTTGGTATATGGCATATAAACATTGTATCAGTTTCTCTCTGCTAAAGCTGACCCCAATTTTACTACCTATTTTTGGACGAAAGCTTAAACCTATGTTCTTTCAAATTCTCTAAATAGTTAGAGAGATCTACCTAATTTTTCATCTATTTGCTCATTTTTTGGTATCTTGCTCAAAAGGATGTGAGGAAACTGCTGTCTAATTGGGATGTCTAGCATATCTATTTTATAAAGTTTTAAAATACCACATAAATAGAATACAACTTTAACAAAATTTTTAAAGATAAATTTCAAAAGTTAAAAAGGAAGAAAAAATTTAACACCCACAATTCTCCCACATATCATTAGTAATTAATTTGTTTAGGTTCATATACCAATAATCACATTTGTACAGATGTGGAGTCATTTTGTAGACTTTTTTGCTTCCTTAATTTATCTTGAACATCTTTTTTATTTTCATTAATATTCTCTTATACCTATAATAGTCAGAAACAGAATATATAATATATAGAGAGAAAGAGAGAGAGGAAGGATTATCTATCTATCGATCATCTATCTATCTATCTATCTATCTGTCTATCATCTATCATTATCATCTATCTGTCTATGTCTAGTGGGCTATTTAGGAATTAGCTCACACAGTTCTGGAGGCTGGCAAGTCCAAAATCTTCAGGGTAAGCTGGCAGGATGGAGACCCAGGGATGAGTTGATGTTGCAATTCAAGTCTGAAGACACTACTGATAGAAGTCCCTCTTCCTCAAGGAAGGTCAGTCTTTTCCTTAAGGCTTCAACTGATAGGATGAGGCCTGTCCACAGTATGGAGGATAATCTTCCTTACTCAAAATTTACTAGTTCAAATGTTAATTTCATTTATAAATACCTTTACAACAACATTTAGACATTTTTGAGCAAATATTTGGGTATCTATCACGGCCTAGCTAAGTCGACACATAAAATTAATCATCACAAATATATTACCTTTAATAGATGTGTACATTTCATTTTATATATGAACTACATTTCATCCAGTCTCTTAAGGTTGGATATTCAGATTGTTCCCAACTTTTTCACCTTACATATAGCATATCTTTGGCTATTTATCTCATTTTTGTCTTCAAGATCAATTCACAGAGTGTGGAAAAGAATGTGCATTTCTAACTTTATAAAGATTTGACTTCTTATTGCCAAATTGCCCTTGTAGATTTCTTTCCCTTTGAACTACAACCGAAGTTTTTGAAGTGGGGAAAATGCCAGGCTCGCCTTGATCTTCCTTCTCTTCCTCAGCCTGCAGGTCACTGGGAACCGGCATGATGCTGAGTTCCTGGGCTACCTCCTCAATTGAAGAAGTGGCAGAAGCTGCTTACGAGGCACTTCGCTGGATGCAACTGTACATCTACAAGGATCGTGAAGTTACCAAGCGTCTAGTGCAGCGGGCTGAGCGGATGGGCTATAAGGCCATATTCGTAACAGTGGACACACCTTACCTGGGCAATCGCATCGATGACGTGCGTAACAGGTTCAAGCTGCCACCCCACTTCAGGTAACCATAGCTCTCTGATCCCCTGAGTCCCTGAGATGGTTTTCTAATTCTCTTTGCTCTGGTCATGAGCCTGCTCCAAGTGGGAGCCCTGGGGAGTTACATCTTCACAGAACGTTGATCCTGAAGTATAGTTGAAAGGGACCTTGTCTAGGAATGATAAGATGTGGGTTCTAGAGATAGTGTCATTGTCAAATATCCACCTAATCTCCAGCAAGTCACACCCCTTTTGTGGATGTCACATACTCAAGCAATAAAACAGAAATAGGAATTGCCCATATGCATATAAAAGTCAAATGAATTTATGTACCAGAGTACATTAAGAATTTTTATAAGTATGAATTGCCATATAGATGGAAGATACCTAATATAGCCCAAACAACAGTTTTATTGTGATCCTAATACCCTAGTTCTGTTGAAATCAAAGAGCCACTTTTTAACTTTATTTTTCATTGTATTTTGAAGAACTATAGCTAGGAAGACTGAAGAAAGCTTAAAGAGTAGAGACAGAAGAAGCTGCATATTTGATCCCTCATCTTCTACCTCTTCTTTCAGCAATATTTCTCTTTAATTGTGGATCAAAATTCATTCATTCATTTATTTAGTGGTTCATTCATTCACTCATCTTAGCAAAAACAATATATCAAGTAATCTGTAATTGAACTATGATGGTTTTTTTAGGTCATTCAACTTGACCATTAGCAGGGAAGTCTCCTTTTTTCTGGGATAATTTAGGAGTAGAGTCATCTTGAGTCAAAGCTGGGAATTCAGTGGAATTTACTGAGAAAAACCCCAATCTCCCTAATATAAAAACCTCTTTTTCCTTTTGATTTTTCCTTCCCCCTAAATCTGCTCTTAGTTTTTTCATACTAATGTGTGACTAATCTGTGATAACCTTCAGAGCTAAAAGTATTTGAACAGGAATCAAAATCTTAGTTTCAACGGAAGACATTTTGATGATGGTATTTCACAGCATACATAGGAGTATATGAAATGATGAGGGATGCCTTCCTTGGATCCTAGACCCATTTCACATGGACCATTGCTTACTCTTTCTACTTATAAAGTTGACCCTTCTAAAAGATCAAAAATCTGAAAGATTTAAAATCAAGTCAGCATTCCATATAAGGACAAGAAGATGGTTGGAAGCCAGGAATTCATATAGGTCATAGAGTGGGATGTATCTCAACTATCACATAAGTCCCTATACAGCCTTGTGTATCACTTAACTGTCACATAGCTCTGCTGGGCGTCTACCTATTTAAGTATAAACTATTGTGCATAAAATCTTGCTGTTGAGCCAGATGTAAATTAGCTGTGTGATTTTTATCTCTGTAATACTTCTGGTCAGGTTTAAGATATTATTTGTATATGTGGTACCTTCAGTGGCCAATGACAAACGAAAGTGCTCCCCCTGTCAGACCTACCAGTAAACCTGCTCCTTGTATGCCAGACACAGGATTACCAAAACACCCTGTGTTTCTAAGAAAACAAAAACAAAAGGTCCCTGACATAGTCCTATTTCTTGCCAAATTCATCAGAAAGTAGATGGCTTCAAATTTCCCTAATAGGAGATTTGTATTTACATTATTTCTCTGTTTTGATTACCTTATGTTTTAGACTTTCTAAAATAATTAGTTTCCCACTATTTAGGCTTCTGACAGGGAACATTCCTCATTATTTCCTTTTGGCCATTTGAAAAGGAGTTTGCTATTTTTTCCTCTCTGCCTGTTAATACTAGTACTAACAATAACAACAATAACAATAAATAATACAGTAGGGTTTTGTTTTTTTTTTTTTTTGCAGCTTAAGAAGCACTTTCTTGCTCTGTATAACGGAAGGTGTTCACAGTGCTATCTACTGAGATGGGGAAAATGGCACAGTTTTTAAATTCTGGCTGGTATCTCTTACTCCTTTATTGCCAGGGCCACTCAGTCAGGAGCAGGAAGGTTGATTTGATTTTCCCCCTTTTCCTTTGCTGCTCCCGGGCTCCCACCCAGATGACGCGAAAGGCCATGAGACAAAGGCTCTTTTCAGCTGTCGATGTGCACAGGAGTGGCCACAGCTCCACAGCTTGTCACATCTCCCATCTGAAGATGATCAAATATTGAGCAACACATCCAGATTACTGGGAACATAGGAAACACCCCACAGCCCAGTGGCCCTGGCCTGCAGAGCGCATGCTGGCTTTGTTTGTCCTAGAGAAATTCTGGGCTGGCCAGCACCTTCTGGTCAGCTCCTCCGTGTCAGCCCACAGTCAGCAATCGAAGGCAGAGCACAATTATATGAGCCCTAGGCTTCCGCCTGAGGCCACATATAGCCGAAAAGCTCATCTGTTACAGCCTGATAGGAAGTCAGGTTTCTTTCTGCAACTGACCTGACTCATAGAAGGTGAAGCTGGGCTTCTCAGAAGTGAGATTTGGCAGGCGAGGGAGGCAGGAAATCCAGAGGAGAATGAGTCCATAAGGCAGTGGCTCCTTCCAGCCCTTGCTACTTCCTGTGCCCGGGTAGGGGGAGGATCTCGACTTAGCATCTGGGACCAGCCACAGTTCAGGAGTTTGGGAGTCTCTGCTCGGTCTATATGCAAAACATAGGTATGTATGTAAATTGTGAATGCCACAGAGATTCCTGAAACTGAGGGGTAGTAAAGAGAATGCTCATCTGCTCTTGGAAGAAGCTAGGAACGAAGCCAGTTCACCAGACTGATTTCTGAGGCTTTGAGGCAGGGACCTTTTTCCTTCTCCATACCCCATGGGGGCGGTTCATTTACCCTGGATAAAAATTTGGATATTCGATGTAGTGCCAGAGCGATTGAAAGAGAAGAAATATAATCTCTCATTAATGGCTAAGTTCAAGGTAAATCATCACACCTACCCTTTTAGTGATTTGCCTGGGGACATGCTTCCTTAAGCCTGGAAATGATTTATTAAAAACAACAGCCAGAAAAATTACACCAAAAAAAGATCAGACTGCCATTGTCTTCCCAAGTCTCTGATGATAAAAGTGGTCTGTGAGGTATTGCATGAGCGGGTCCCCCATTACCTCTCTGGCCTCCTCTTCTTGCACCCTTGTCTTCGCTCACTCCCCTATCCGCTCTGGCTTCTCTACTCTTCCTTCAACGTGCCAGGCCCGTGTGCTCCTTAGAGCTTCAGAATTGACTCTTCCCTCTGCCTGTAACATTCCTTCCTCAAATCAATGCACTACTAACTTCATCGTTTTCTTTGCATTTTGATATCAAGGATGAGTCTACAGGTTTATGCCAGGAAACCACAATAAAAATAGACTAAATGGTAGAGATTAGAACAGAGACATAATATGTGTGGGAAGAGGTAGTGGAAAGAGAAACATTTTTGAAGGACTTGGCACATGGTCCAATAGCCTCTGAATTCTTTGGTTAGAAAAACATCCACATTATGATCGTGTTAAACAGAATAACGACCTCCCAAAGATGTCCATGTCCTGATCTCTGGAACCTGTGAATGTGACTTTACATGGCAAAATAAATAGACTTTGCAGATATGATTAAGGACCTTGAGATGTGAAGACTGTCCTGGATTATCTCATAAACTTCATGTAAGTAAAGGGTCCTTATAAGAGAGAGGCAGGAGTGTCAGAGTTAGAGAAGGAGATGTGACGATACAAGCAGAGGTTGGAGGGATAGCATTAGGGGGCGTCGGTGGTATTGGATTCTTCCTCAGAGCCTCTGGAACAGCTCTCTCCACACTTTGAGTTTAGTCCATTGGGAATCATTTTAGACTTCTGACCTCCAGAATTGTGATATCATAAATTTATGTCATATTAAAGCCTCTAGGTTTGTGGTCATTTGTTATAGCAGCAACAGGATACATATACAATAACCCCGCTCTGCTAATTTCCTCTACGAGGTAACTTCTCAATGAGGCCAAGTCTGATTATAATATTTTAAAATTTTAAGTTAAGCCTCTACTAGCTTACTTGCTTCTTATTTTGCTCTACGTCTTTTCTTTATTTTTTTATAACACATATTCTAACATGTTTCATAAATTACTTATTGATTATATTATTGTTTATTTTCTGTCTCCCCTTGCTAGAATGGCAACCCTATGTTGTCAGGGATTTTTGATTGTTTTATTTACTAGTATATCCTAAACATCTAAAATCCTGGCACACAGTAGGTGCCCGGTAAATAATGTTGCATAAGTAAATAAAAATGTACTAGGGCATATGAGATTTACCCAATAAAACATGACTAGTAAGAAGCTGAACAAGAGTTTGAACTCACACTTAATATCCATACCCTGACCCTTTCTTCTAGCTACCCAGCCACATTGAGGAAAAAATTAGCAAGGCTATACTCTCACTATAAGTGTTTTCCTAACCACTGAATTAAATGCTAGTGGCCCATGAACAAATTCCTGTGTCTCTATCTGTGTCTCTCATTGTGTTGATATCATGGGCTCTACTGGTTGTTATTTTATATTTTATTTCTCACCATGGAGACACATAGCTTTTATCTTTAATATCCTATCAATGGCTAAAATAAATAATGTTATATATTTCTCAGTAATATTTATTATTATTAGTGTTACTATTGGTGATTTAATAATGTTTAACTTTCCTTTAGTAGTTGTTACTATTTTTATGATGCTAACTTACTAAAAGCTAAAATAATTTTTAGATTAGATTAAAAAGTATGTTTGAGGAACATTCAAGGCACAATGAGTCCTTTACAAAGAAGAAATTCTAACCCTTGCCTTTGGGTCATTAAATAGATTGGGATTCGGAGAATTAAGTCATAACTAATCATGTTATTATTTTGATGTTGTCCCTTTCCTTCCTTATGAAATGGAATACTTTAGTTATCAGAAGGTGCTTTAAATGTTTTTTTGTATATATGTCATAATTCAAATAAAAATAGCATTCATGGAGCCATTGGTAAAACACTCCATCGCGGGTCTCTGTCAAGATATCTGAAAACTTTTTCTTGGCTTCTGGCTTTGAACAACGTTTTAGAGCAACAACAAGGCTTCATTGTGCGCTGAAATTTCTGTAAGGCAACATTCATTCAAGTGTTGATCTGCATTTCACCGTCCAAGAATAACAACAGTTATTTATATAATTTTATCCATGTTTCTGTTTTTTCCTATCCATTTCACCCTTTCACCCCGCCCCTGCTGAAACACTGTAGCTTGTTTGGGAGGGGGTGGGGTGCTACGCAGAGTATATACACATACAGAAGTCTCCCCCCACCCCCCGCCTCTGATCTTGCTATGGGAGAGGCAGACTGGACCTTTGTCTTATTAACAATATTACTTAAAAGTTTGGAATTTAGTATCAATTAATATCATTTCTAAGTATTTGGAATAGGTTTTCATAATCAGGATATATTTATTGACCAAAAAGTTACTTTATTCAAGTTATGATGACAGCAGAAAGCCAGTCTGTGATACAAAATACAACCCTAAGTGGTTTGATAAAAAGAGATATCCAACTATTTCAGCTAAAATCCTTACCAGAGCTCAATGAATGGGTACCAGTGTGAGTGTAATGGAGTTGGAATCTTCTCTAATCTGTAATAGCTACCTAAGTCCATGAAAGTATAGGGCTATTGAATTCTTATTGTGAAAACTTTACCAATGGCTTAAATAGAGTTTCGTAAGATGTAAATATTCATGTCCTATGATAATATATGCCACCTAAACTACCCGACCAGCCCTTTTAGCTGAACATGCACTAAAATGTAAAAAGCATTAAACCTAATTTTGTTTTAATGGAAATGTTATGATTCTTTAAAAAATAATTTTAAAGTAGTGGGTCTATGTACTTCTAGGTTTATATAAAAATTGTTATACATATGGCTCCAAGATTCTTTCTATAATCAGTGGCAGAGCGAGTAAAAGGGAAAAAATTGCTATGACTAATCCACAGATAAATATACAGTTGTATTTTTACCCAAAGAGAAGTTTGGCCAGCAGGTAACTTATAATGTACAGAAGAACACAGTGAATTCAGGTCATTGTCACCATTCAGAGATAGCCATTCAGAGAAATGAAGGTCACAGTTGGATTTGGGACTGTAGACAGCTAAGTCATATGTATAGTGTCATTGTGTATCCAGATGGCCATCCATCCAGCTAGTGGTCAGAGTTGCAGGCAGAAAAGACTTTATCCTTAGTTTGGAGAACTGCCAAAATCTAGTCAGGATATCAGGACATTAGACCAAGAGAAAAGACTTCAGGTATAGAGTGAGCCAGTAGCAGCATCTTACAGGTGAGTTAGAGAAATGCTGGTCTAAGCTGAGTTAATAAAATTCGACTTAGGGGAGGGCAGCAACTCAATGGAGCTGTGACTCAGTTTGAGTTCTTCTAGTAACAGAATGGAGCCAGTGATTTAAGTGCTGGCAGTTCCTTTAGAACGGAGTCCCCAGCCCCTGGGCTGTGGGCAAGCACCAGTCAGTGGCCCTTTAGGAACTCAGCTGCACAGCAGGCGATGAGCAGCAGGAGAGCAGTATGTGCAGTGGCATCTATCTATCTATCTATCTATCTATCTATCTATCTATCTATCTATCTACACACACATACATATATATATACATATATATATACACACACGTATATCTATATATACACGTATATATATGTAGGTATATATATAATGAAACATTACTTGAACTGTATGTGAATATCTTAATAGAGCTATTTAAAAAAATAATCACCAAAGGGAAAAAAAAGCAGCCACAGAAATCCAGGGAGCTGCCTGGGGAGTAAGGAAGGGACAAAAGTGAGAGAGAGCCTCACATGATTATGGAGGCAGAGAAGTCTCATGAACTACTGTCCATAAGCTAGAGGCCCAGGAAAACCAGTGATGTAATCCCAGTCCCAAGCTGTAGGCCTGAGATCCAGGGGAGCCAATGGTGTAAGTCCTAGTCTGTATCTGAAGGCCTGAGAGACCAGTAGCATAAGTTCTGGTTTGAGTCTAAAGGCTTGACAATCAGTAGCTCCCAAGTCCAAGAGCAAGAGATGATGGATGTCCCAGCTCAAGTGGAAAGCAGAAATTTATCCTCCCTCACCTTTTTGTTCAATTTGGGCCCTCAACAGATCGGATGATACCCATGCACATTGGTGAGGGTGACCATCTTTACTCGGTCTATGAATTCAAATGCTAATCTCAGCCAGAAACACAGAAACACCCAGAAATATTTTACCAGCTATTGAGGCATCCCTTAGCCCAGTCAGGTAGATACCTAAAATTAACCATCACACCACAGGCAAAGAAATGAAGGCCTTGATGATCAGAAAGCTCATGCCCTTGGCAAGATTGTCTGGAAGATTGGGAAGTCTGAGTCAGCAGGTAGAGAGCCTCAGAGAGAACAACTAAGTGGGGAGGAGAGAAGCAAGAGCTGATAACTGCTGAAAAGCACCCCCACTTCTCCCTACGCCCACCACCACAATAATAGTAGGCAGGAAGAAGACTACAGTGGTGACAGAAGGTGTTAACATGTTATTGCAGTTTCAGTCTCTTCTAGAATTTTCCACAAGGACGTTGGAAGGTTTCCTGAAGTCAAACGCAATTGCCATGATGCAACTGAGATCTGAACAAAAAGAATGTAATTAGGAGTCAAGAGACCCAGTTTGGAGCCAAATGATGCCTTAGCTAGTTTTATATTTGGAGCATTTCTTTCAGCACTTCTGGTTTTTATTTTTTATATAAAATAGGAATCCTAGAGTATCAATTTTATTTTCTAAAGTTTTTCAAAATTATGATAATATTGGTATATGAAAGCCCTTTATAAATCATAATGCACCATGCAAGTGTTCATCATCATGATTAGTATGCATTGCTGGCTGAAAACAGGATTAAAAAATCTATTGTCTATATTCATAAACTAGCTTAAAAAGGTAGTTCTATTTGAACTTGGACATATATTTTTCCTTGAAAGTGATGTATTTATATAAAAAATAGCCTAAGATGAAAAATAAACTTTAAGTGACCAATTAAGTTTACTAGATTGTGACATTATAGCCTGGAATCCTACATCAAAACATGGAAGATAGGCATGCAACCCCCTATAGGTGATTGAAGAGTGAACAGCCAATTGATTTGAAAAGGGTGACTTTTCTTTTTTCATTGAATGAGTCATTGTAACGATATCTCTAACTTTGGTAGGTTTCTCATTTTATATATCTCTTTATTTCAGAATGAAAAATTTTGAAACCAATGATTTAGCATTTTCTCCTAAGGAAAATTTTGGAGACAACAGCGGACTTGCTGAATATGCGGCTAAAGCCATAGACCCATCTCTCAGCTGGGAGGATATTAAATGGCTGAGGGGGCTGACCTCACTGCCAATTGTTGCAAAAGGCATTTTGAGAGGTTTGTTTATTTCTTTACTTGAGTTCTTACTGATTTTATGGTTCTTTGTGAATACAATCATGCTATTTTTAAGGGAAAATCGGGAAAAATTAACATGGAAATTAAAAGAGACATTCTATCTCTCAGTTCTCCATTTTGATGTTAGTGAGTAAATATTCCCTCATTCTTAGATAATATACCGAAGGAGAGTAGGACTCTCATGAAGTAAGGACTTACCCTTTTTAAAGCATTGGGTTACTGTTGCCATATTTTGGAGCTGTCACCGAATTATGGAGCTTGGCAAGATCTGTGTAGAAGGTTCTGCCTTGGCTGAAAGCTGCAACATTTGCCCTCAGACCAATGAGAAGCTCCAAAGGTGATATTATGATAGCCAGAGCAGTTTTAACATCCTTTTCTATTTTTCTCCTGTTCTCTTCAAGTACCTATGACTAGGACTGATTTTTGAGTGTGATGAATCTCACATCTACTTCCCTGTAAAGAATAGTTGAATAGAACATTAAAATCTTCGATTATCAAGATGGGTATTAAGGATCTTGACTACTTCCCCGGTATTCAATACTACATGTATTCATTCCTACCGGGAGGTACCAGTGATTGTAATAATTTGGAGTGTAAATGTGTTCACTCACAAAAATGGGTGAACATTTTCTTGCCTTTGAAAATACATATTTTTAGTACAGTTAAATAGATAACTACCACTTATTATTGTAAATGAAAATGTTTGAGTAAGTGGCTCAAGGATGAGAAATTCTATTATCTTATCTCAGGGTTAACAATGACTTAGAATCAAAACGTTTTTATAAGTCTTATTTGAGTATGTGTCACATGACCTTATTTATAAAGCTCCAGGCATGCCACTAATTTTATCTGTCTAATCTTATGCAGAATGAAGCTAGTAAAAGTAAAAGAATGAGCCCAGGGAAACTTTCAGGTAGTGGAGATGTATTTAAATACAGATGTCTTAATCTGTGCTTTAAAAATAATATTGTTTTACTCTTTCCTGTTGATCATTGTCCTAGTTCAAAATTTCTGAGAATTATACTTGAATAAGTATATCCTGGTGTTAGGAGCATCTTTAAACAACAGTTCAACTTACCTTACATACATATTGTCATCCATGATTGTTAGTGCCACTTCCTGTAGGTTCTCAGAACATTAGCCTAAAGGTTCTGCTCCATTCGTTTATTCGCTCACTTATTCATTCTCTCAGTCATTCATTACATAAATATTTATCATGCTTACTGTGTACTAAATTTAAGTAATAATATGATAATAATAACTTGAGGTCCTTAGCCAAAAGAAGGTCCCATTCTTGTGAAAGATGGACAAATAAACAAGAATTTGGGTCCAATAACATATTACAGGAGCTGAGATAGAAACGTATGAACTATAAGGGCGGGTTTAAAATAGGATGTGGACAATTATAAGAGTAGGTTAGGGAAGATTCCATTTAAGAATGAAAGATGATGCTTAAGTTTTGCTATGACATCAGGTCAAATGACTCTCAGACTGCAATAATGACAAAATAAAGCAGTTATGAGTAACAATTTATTAAACATGTAAGCCGTATTAGAGAATATAGACTTTAAGATGTTTGAGAACCACTAAGGATCTTGATCAGGGAGTAAGCAACCTCATCAGATTAGTATTTTAGAAAAATCACACTTTGTATAGTGGACTTAGTGGATAGAGGTGGCGAAATTGAGGTCAGGGAGTACATTTAAGAAACTGTTGTTGCTAAGGCAAAAGATAATTGTGCTTGACCCGAAAAAAGTGAGAGGATGTTATTGAATTAGAAATTTAATGCAGTTTCAAACATTTAATTCACTCTCATCACAGAGGTAGCCCAGGGCAACTGGCTTGAAAACACAAAGGAAGAATAAAACTTTAGTATAATTTCATATTTGTGTGTTAAATAGGGAACAAATATAAGAATGAGTTTATCTAATTTTTAACCTTTTTAATTTAAGATTTCCTATATATAGTTTTCTACAACTTTGTCCTATAGGATATGCTAGAAATCCATTGAATTAGACTTTACTATCATGTGTTATATTAAAAAATACTTTGGCTTCTAGAACTTCATTATGTGGTCATCTTACCCAGGACCACCACCTTTCATCCATATGGATCATGTGAACTTGTTTCTACACATTTTCATAATGTTTTGCATGTAGTAGAGAGACCAATGTTTAGTAAGTAAAATCCTCAGTGAAAACTATATGAGTCTATAAACTAGAGAGAGCTCAAAAGCAAGAGAAAGAGATAAAACATTTGGCATTTGAAAGGAAATGACTTATTTATACATGTACAGTTTATATTGTCTAGTTTTTCTGTAACTATTTATTTCATCTGTTTAACAAACGAAAAACATCTCTGTGACAACAAATACATCAGGTAGTGCCTATGCTCAGTCTGCATGGGGCGGTAGTTCATGGTTGGTGGGGCCAGTTCTGGCATGTCTAGTGCTCACTATTTCACAGATCTTTATCCAGAAGTCACATGGATTGACTGAGAGTCACTCATCCTTTTTCATTTCCTTTTACCAGAAAGATGCAGATTATGTTGCAGGCATATGAAATCACGGGCAACTGGAAAGATATCAATGAAATATTCCCCCTTACCACCATGTTAAGAATTTCATTTTAATGAATGCAAATTGGAGTGCAAGATATAATCTCTCACTGTGGTTAAACTCTGCCCTTGGAAAACTTCAACACACGCTCCAAACGTGTTATTTGAGACAGGATTTGGTCTTTGCCAGAACTCACACTAACAAGAAAATGGCTTTATGAGCAAAGGCATAATGCTTTTTAGAGTTTTTTTTTTTAATTAAAAAAATTTTTAACTAGGTTATAGTGGCTTTTTGTTTTTCAGAAACTGTTTTCTAACTAGCCCTTTTCCTATATACATTTTTTCCCCAAAATACTCCTAAAGAATATTCACTCAGTTTTCCTGGACTGTGTTCAAAACCGCTGCCATATATCTAGGATTGAGTTACTAAACTCCTGTAAGATAGTGCAGAGTCCTGGGTCAAAAGCTCCAGTGCCTGGAGGGTAAATCTTGAGTATTTACATTTCACTTTTGTATTTCAGATTAAATACAGAAATAGTATATTAGTAAGATATCAAACAGTACTATTTCATATTGACTATTGCATTTGTCAATCAATTAATATATAGACTGGTAAATTAGCAAACATGGAATTCAATGTAAGTAAACTCTAAGGATTAATGAAAATATTAAAGATTCATGAACATTTTCCTAAGTCAGAACATTTTGACCGTCTCATTAAGGCAAGATTTTTTTCTTTCTGGGTTAAAATTAAATGTAAAACTGTGGACATTGTTTCATAAGTAGCTAAGAAAAAGGGCTCATGTTTAGCCACTAATTATTGTTACTTTTTTTACTTCGCTAGATACTCATGATCCTATCTTCTGAGCAAAGCCCCATGTCATTTCCCCCCACATTCCTAGCACTGCCTGGAAGAACCTGGAATACCACTTGCTATGATAGAAGATAACAAACTTACTTAAGACGTACTTACTTCCAATGAAAGGCTCTTTATAATTTTAATCTTTACTAGAATGAAAATTTTTTGTTATAAGCAAAACTCAAACAGACTTGCCAAAAGCATCCAGGAAACGAATCTTCCCCCATTTATTCATCATCTTAATTTATACTTCCTACACCATCAGATAATAATAATGATAGTTAATATTTACGTAATGTTATTCTAAATACTCATTTGATGCACAAACCAATCTATGTGGCTTTTTATCCCCATTATGTGGGTTAGGACACTGATGTACAAAGAAATAACTTGCCATTTACATAACCAACAAGTAGCAGTTGTGGGAGTCAAATCCAGGTGGTCTGACTACTAAGCCTAAACAGTTAATCACTTTTTCATACTGTATAGAAGCTGTTTATTGATAATATTCAGTTTCTCAAAACACAGATTGTAGCTACATGGTCACAGACATCTGAATATAAAGTAGAGCACTGCATACATCCTCAATCATGGGGTTCATAAAATATTATAGTTCATATATTTGACTTTTTTTCACTTTTGATTTAATGTTTGAGAATCACATACATAACTAGATAACCAGAGCAAACCATGCCAATTCCAAATATATTTTAAATTTTTTGTTAAGATTGTTTATGGATACATTAGACTTTTAAACAAACACCATACTACATCTCTTTGTTAGAATAGATAAATTCAAACAAACATTAAAGCTGGTCTGTCCAATATGGCAGCCACTTGCCAAATGTGGCTAAGTTAATTAATAAAAGTGAAATTTCAGTTCCTTAGTCATGCTGCCACATTTCCACTACTCAATGGCTACGTGTGGCTAGTGGCTACTGTTTAGGACTACACAGATCAAGAACATGTCCATCATCAGAGAAGAGTTCATTTGAATAGCACTGTATTAAGGCCATATATTTAGAGAACCATTTTCTAAACATTTTAAATAATGTGTTATGTAAAATAATATTTTACATTATCGTATATCGTATATTATGTATGGGCTTCTGGTTCAAAATGCTGGACTGAGTACATATGTAGTCTGTTACCTAAACCTCCATTGAAATTAAAGTATGGAAATTCAAAAATACATAAGACTTATGATAGCAAAGCAAAGGAAGATGAGGGGCATGAACAGCAGAAAAATTTCAAGAAACTTATGAAAGAAAGAAAACGTAAGGGAGCCTGTTGATAGGAGGAACATACAAAAAAATTGCCCCTCAAGATAGGCTTGGAGGGAACCCTGGAGGAGGCAGGGGGAAACTATATAATGGAATGCCTGAGAGGCTCTAGGGGTCCAGTCTGAAAGTGTAGTAGGGTTGAGGACTGAGAAATAGAGACTAGAAGCACAGGGATTAATTGGAGTTCTGTTTGTGAAACTATTTCACCAGCCGGCAATCCTCTCTCACCTCTTGTGCAATGATCAGCAACTTAATTAACATAGTAGCTTAATCCTTTCTCAGGAAATAAATGGATTGCTGGGACAACCTATGAGGAAATAACGTTTACAATATGGTACGATGCTATCCTCATTCTGACCTTGAGGAGCTCATAGTCGAATAGCCCCTTAGTTGACATTCCTTGTCTTGTCCCACAGGGAGCTCCAAGAAAGAATTTCTACTCTAGGCAAAAACTTGGAATGAATTAAATCGAGTTACGAAAAAGCCCAGGAAACCTATAACAGCTCCCCAATCTTTCTTCCTTAAATATAAATGAAAAATTTAGCATCACTAGGCAGATCAGAAACATCAAAATGTAAAAGACCAAGATAAATCTACAGAAAAGCTGATCCTAGAGTAAAAGGATAAAGCAAGAAAAAGAACTTAAAAAATTCCAAATGATAGACTCAGAGAAATTGAAAATATACCTAAATAAGAAAAGTCTACCATGAAAAGACAATCAGAATACAGAAAGGAGTTACCAAATATTTAAATAATTTGATTTCTGGAATTAAAAGTGAAATTATTGATTGAACAATAGAGTCAGTGACATGTCCCAAAATGTCAAATAACAAAACAAAAAGAAGGAAAATATGATTAAATAAAGGAGAAGCTTGCAGACCCTTTAAAATGTCCAACATTCAACTGATAAGATCTTCAGATAAAAAAGTAAAAGAAAAAGGCAGGAGGAATTTATTAAAGATAGACAATGCCTCAATGCTGGAGACATAAATCATTATATTGAAAAAACAGACAGCTTATTACATCTCTTGAAAAATGTTTTTAAAGAGAGAAAACAAGCATAAAACTGGTGAATTACAAAGGAATGGGAGTCAAACTGGCATCAATTTTCTTGTCAACAGCAGTGGGCACTAGAAGACAATGAAGTAATGTCTTTAAGGTTCTAAAGAAAAGGATTTTTCAACCTAGAATATTATATCTGATCCAATTATCATTCAAACACAAGAGAAGTTATTTAAATTACCTATAAGTTTACCTCTTCTTTTAGGAAATTATAAAGGATGTGCTATAAACAGATGATAATGTGAACCAAATGAATATATAACCTAGACTACAGTAGATTCAACCCAGAGCGAGTAGGAGAAATTCTATAGGATGAAGGTCGTCAGTAGGCCTTGAGAATAACCAGAGCAGGATAGAATGGGATCATAGAGGGCTCCGGGGGATGTCTCCATAGGGAAAATAAGGTGATTTTTAAATGGATTAGATAGAATAATTAAAACGTTCGAAGAACTCAAAGATACTTCAAAGTCTCTATGATAAATGGAGAAAAAGGGAAAGAAATGAAATGCAATTAGAAATCCAGGAAAAGAAAGCTCTGTAATAAAACATAGGTAGTTCAAATATGAAGCAGTATTAAAATATAAAATATGAATCAATCAATGGGGTAGAGGCTATAGCCTTTTCCCTACGAGTGACTAAAAAATTACCAACTAGATCTTGCAAGATGTAATGCATACTTGGATTAAAGCAGGTAGCCAAAAACAGTCTCATAGAAACAGTTAGCTTTTATATTTAATATAGAATATTGATCATTTATTAGGTATACAACAAAATGCATAACAATTCAGGCTTATAGGTGAATAGATGACATACAACATAGTTAGTTGGTAAACACTGATGTTTATGTATCAGAATATCTTTCATGCGATTTCATTGCATTTTAGGGTTTGTCATAGCATTTCTTAAAGGTAGATTCTACCAACAATAACATGATGACATGATGTCTTAGTCACCTTGGCTGGCATAACAAAATTCCATAGATTGGGTAGCTTAAACAGAAATTTATTTTCTCACAATTCTGGAGGCTGGAAATCCAGGATTAAGGTTTCACCATGGTCATTTTTCGCTACAGGCTCTTCCCTTGGGTTGCAGAAGCTGCCTTTTTAATGTGTGCTCACATGACCTCTTCTTTGTGGGAACATGGAGAGAGAGAGACAGAAAGAGAGGGAGGGAGGAGAGAGAGACAGACAGACAGACAGAGAGGCAGAGAGCAGAGCACGAGAGAGTAAGCTCTCTGGTATCTTCTTATAAGGGGACTAATATCATCACAAGAGCCCTGCCCTCATGACCTCGTTTAACATTAATAATTCCCCAAAGACCCCATTTTCAAATACTGTCACATTGAAAGTGTGGCTTCAACATATGGATTTTGTGGGAACACAAACATTGAGTCCATAAAATATGGGTTTCACATTTTCATATACCTGTAATTTTAGAAGAAAAATAATACTGGCATCATTTTTCAAATGGGACTATTTAAAAAGTAGTATTTTACGAAATGCAGTTTGGAAATGTTTTAGCAAAATAATTGAAAACAATCAGAATTACATATTCTCCTGTGAATCTTTTATTATTTTTAGTCAGGTTTGCCCTTCATTTCCATTGCTGAATTATAAATATATACAATGTTCTGTATCCATCTGCTTAAGTTTCCAAAATCTGATTTTCATTACAACCTTGGACCAACCATTTTTGAGTGTGAAACTTGAGAACTCGTATTAGTTTCATTATTCTGTTAGCAAATGGTTTGTTATTGGGAGCATGCTGAAAATAGTAGTTAAAAATATAGAATATAAAAAATAAGTTGGAAATCGATTTAAGAGAACAATCTATTTTAAGATTTTCAGAAATCAATAGTTTGAGAAATCAATATACTTTGAAGCATGATTAGAGATATAATTTTAATATTACATTTTGAGATACTTCAATGGGAAAAATATATTTAATTATAGAACAATATAACTTAAAATACTTACTGAAGTTATAACTTTGTATTAAAAAGTGTTTTTGAATTAGACTTATTCATTACCTGTTACATTCAAAGTTCTTGCCACTTATATTATTTAATGCTATCCAAACTGTAGAAGAGTAATTCTGCTAAATGTTAAATGGCATGAGCTTATTAATAGAAATAAAAAGTACTTAGCAGGAATACTTCCTTATGAGGATAAATAAATTTTTACTGCATGCCAATTTACTATTTATTGATAATTTTATTTTATAATTAAATTGTTATAAGTGCTAATTTTTTTGGCCAAGATACTATCATGGCTATTCTAGATCTAATGCTTGGGTGTATTTCTGTGCTAATGGTTTCAAGCAAGGTACATATGTGTGAAATCAGGCTCCTTTTGACTGTGGTTTTTCAACCTCCAAACCCAAGCCTTCTGTTAAGCTGCTTTTTCATGTTATGGTTAATGATTGTCTTGCTTTTTCTAGGAGATGATGCCAGGGAGGCAGTTAAACACGGTTTGGATGGGATCTTGGTGTCGAATCATGGAGCTAGACAACTTGATGGGGTGCCAGCCACTGTGAGTTGCAGCCCACGCCAGGATTTCTCTTTGGAGTTTTTATTTCCATCACAGATTTGATTATCTCTGTGTCTGCCTCTTCTCTGTGAATGTTTTGGTGTGAGTGCACAAGGGAAAATTTGTGTGAATATATGAGATCTTGGATTTGAAGTTTAGTGGCACATAACTACCTAAATTTGTCATTAATTAGTCTAATACATTTATTTATAAACTTGTAAAAGCCCCCATTAAATAATAAGTCAGTCGTGGGTAAGGATTATTTTTGTATTCATTGGTACACCGATAGGCATAATGTAAATTGGAAATGATTATGCCATGAAAGTCCAAAAAAAGAAGACCGAATAGACAGTTGTAGTAATTAAAAAAGGCTTCAGTGGAGTTTGAGATCATTAGTACAGTTGTGACAGGAAGTCAAGAGGAGGGACAGACTGAAATTTCCTGTGGATGTGGGTCTGAAAACCTGTAGGGATAGGGAGGGGACGTGAGAAGGGAGATGGAAATCCTGTGGCCCAAATGAGGGAAGGTCAGCTGCAAACAGGCTACGCTGCTTGAGCTGTGAACTACCTTGCTGCATGTGAGAATCACCTGGGGGAACTTTAAAGACTCTCAATGCCCAGGCTGCACCCCAGATCAATTTATCAGAATCTTTAGGGATGTGGGACTAAGTACTAGTATTTTTTAAAACTACTCAGGAGATTCCCAGTGTGCATCTATGGTTTTTATACACTGTACACATTATGCCAGGCAAACCAAGGTCCAAAATCTAGATAAAAAGATAAACTGACTGGAAAGTTGTGGGACTGAGTTAAAACTGTATAGGAGAGAAATTAACCTCAAGAGGGCCAAGAGCCTAGAAGACCAACAGAGTCACTGGGGCAGATTTTAAGATCAAGGGGTCAGAAATAGATCAAAAGTCATGGAGACAGACACATATCCAGGGGTGGATTTTGTGGATTCACCATCCCAAATAGGGGGCCAGGAGCTGTACGTGGTGTTGGTGGAGTATTAAAGAGTAGTTCATTTCTGTGCTGTCCACTTGTGGGGACTTGGCCAAAATTCTTTTAGATGAGGCAATGGTTTTGCAGTTGCCTTTCACCTCTGCTTTGTCCCCATGTGAACCCCATATGTGAGCCTAAATATGGAATGGGAAAGAATGAGAAGTGCTTGGGGAATTCCAAGTAATCTATTTTGTTTGCAGTGTCTGGTGGTGGGAGGAGGGTCCTGGGAAATATGCTTACATGGACAGGTAAGGAAGAGTTCTTTAATATGATAACATTGGATATACAATAGAAGAGCCTTGATTTAGCAGCAGTGAGTCTTAGAAATTGGATTTTGGCATGACAGCAGGCAGGAAGATTAATTAGGTCACCTGGCTTATTACTATAGCCAAGGAAGGAAAGAAGACCCTGAACTGTGACAGGGCAAAGAGACTCAATTTCCACTTTCCGAACCTTAGTTTTCTTACCTTTTAAAGTTTAAACATCATTAGATTATTTCTTTGGTGCCTTTAAACTTTAATATCTTATAATCCGATTTATTCCAGGTAAAGTAAGCTAGCATCATGTAACAAAACTTTAAAAAAATTATTTACCCAATAATGCAGATGGACTTTTTAGACCCCCATCTTTCTACTGGATCATCATATGCATTACCCCTTTTTATCAGAATTATTCAGTCATAGTTATTAAATGGATGGCTTTAGTTGGGATGACCAGTTGAATTTATTCAAACAACTTGAAATAGCATAGAACAAATAATTTAGTCAAGTAACATGGACTGTTGCTTCATTGAACTAGCAGGTTAATTTACATAAATCCATATACCAGTTTAATAGGTCTTAAGGAAGACTAAATGACTACAGGGCATATTGGATGTCCATATCTGTACTCACAGTTTTTCCTAAAGCACTAATGGTAGAAATGAACCAAGTCTTTGCACACTTCAGATTATGCTGTTAAGAATTTAAATCATAAAACTGGATGGTTTCAGCTCTTTCTAATTCACCTCTACTTATAGAGACTCATCTTTTTAGGTGATATTAAATGTTGCCCACAGATAAACGGAGAAGGAAGAGTGAAGACCTCTGGGAGAAGGAGGAGAGGGTGGTCACAGATCAAGGCGTTTTTGTAGATTATGCCTCTCTTGTATATGAAGACATAGACTTACTGTGAGGGCCAAATTTTTTTTTTTTTCCCCTAAAAATAATATATCTAAATCTACTGAAATCAAATCTAACTAGATTTTAAGAGAAAAAAAAAATACCTAAATGGTGTGGTTTATTTCCCTCTGGCTAAGGGGATATGGAAATTTATCTAAAAGGCCTTTTTGAGCTGTGGTCTTGGAGACTGTTTTAAAAAAAAACAATGACCCTCCCCTTTGCGTGCGGTGTGCAAGAGAGGAGTTGCTTGCTTGAGTTTTGCCTCATACTCTACAGCAAATTTAAGGCCTATGATGGTGAGAAAAATGTGAGAAAGGATTCGGTTTATGGTGAAGATATTTTTCCCTCGGTATGTAAATTTTGAGGTGAGTGGTAAAAGACTTGAAGGAGGCTGTGGTGTAAAAATTTTCAGTAGATACACAGAAAGACTTGCTGTCCTGCAGATCCTATGATATCATAAATCAGAGCCAAAGAGGTAGAATGATGTCATGGGAGGAACACTGAAATGGAAATTCAGAGTCTTAGGTTCAATTCCTTGTCTTGCCTCTTCTAAGGAGTGAGAGCTGGGTGAGTAAGTTGCTTAAACTTTTCACCCTGGGCTTCCTCAGTAGTATTATGTGGATTGCAAAAAGAAAGAGGCTGGATTATGTCATTTTTGCATTTCTATAAAGCACAGAATTCCCTTGGACAGGGAAATACTTATCACTAGGTCTCCTAGAACAAGAATTTAACTTCAGTTCATCTTAATACCATACTACTGCGAGCCACTGCCAGACCTCTGCTATACCCAAAAGTAGTTAAAAATTAAGTTTGTGTCAAGTTCCTTACCCTCAAGGTAATAACGTGGCCATGATCAGTCTTGAAGTAATTGGAGAACAATGTGACAGAATCAAATTGATTTCCCAAATCATAGTATTGCAACATCTCAAACTGGGGTCTAAAGACAGATTCTCTGGAATCTTTGAACCATAGCAGCATTTTTCTTTCTTTTTTTCTTTTTTCATTTTTGTTTTGATGCTAATGGGAACCAAATTAACTTAAGCTTAAAAATACAGTGTTCTTTTCAAGTGAAAATTCTCAACCGTAGAACATTTTTATAAAATAAGTATTTGGTTTGTTAAAGTCAAGTCTTTCCAAAATCAAGTCCTTGGCCATCTTCTATGAGATCTAAGAGGTTTTATTTTGTCCTTTAAAAGGGATCCACAATTCTACCTTTGAGAACCACTTGATATATCAGTTAGCTTTTACTGTGTAACAAACAACTCTGAAACTTAACTGGCCAGCAATCAGTAGCCATTTATTTATGGCACAATTTTGTGAGTTGACAATTTGGGCTGAGATTTGCTGGGAGGTTTTTCTGGCTGGAGTCACTCCTATGTATCTGTGGTCAGCTACTGGGTTTACTAAGAAAGGCTGGTGTAGGATGACCTCTGCAGGGACATGCTAGTTCTGCCTGTCTCACGTCTTGTACATTAGGTGGGCTGGTTCTCATGAATAGGTGGCAGATTTCCTAGAGAGTAAGTGCAAACATACAAGGCCTCTTGAGATCTAGGCTTAGAACACACACACTGTCGCTTCTCTCACATTCGGTTGATCACAATGGCTAGTTCAGATACCAGGGGTGAGGAAATAGGCTCTTCTGGTCCCATTTCTCTCCCATAATGGAAGGAGATAAAATGTCACATTGCAAAGAAATAAAGATAGGGAGGGAAATAATTGCAGCCATTTTTGCAATTGCAAATGATCAGCCAGACCTACATGGGCCAGTGATTGTCTAAGCCTGCTGAGTAGAAACCCCCCCAAGGTCTTCCTGGTAAAGCGCAATGGACAGCGTAGAGTTGAGAGTCAGGGAAGGATTTATGGGCAGTAGCCTGGATTCTGTCTACTTGGCTTTAACTAAAGCAGCTCTGACTTTATCTGCTTTTATTTATGTGCAACTTCTTTGGTGTAAAACCTTTAAAGAGTTTCTTCCATGCCTAAAATGTCAGAAATCAGTAGTATAACAGTTGCTACAGGAAAGTAGAAATGTGAGAACTCCCAATGAGTGGAAGTTTGGAGGGACAAGGAGCATCTTGGAAGAGTGTGACTTGAACAGGATCAGGAAAGAGAAGTCTGTGAGTTGGATCCATGTGGGATTCTTCTCTCATTATCTGTGATATTTTTTCTGGTGTAGTGCCTTGAATATACCAGATCTTCGATAGAGTGTTTGATAAGTCAGCGAATGGTTGGATAAAATGAACAATGGCATATCGGCATCTTACCGTATTTCCCTGTAGGTTTACTCCACTGGAGTTAAGCTCACAAGAAGTTGTCTAAAGTACCACTAAGAAAAGAAAAGCTGAAATGAATGGTCTCTTAGATGTGTAGCAAGCTGAAAAGAAGGAAACGTAGCAGTCATAAAAGAATGGATTTGTCTATTATGTTTTTTATTTAATCTCCTCTGATCAGAATTATTGTCTGAAACACACCCACAGTAAAACTGCAGTAAAGTAAAGAAAAAGGGGGAAGGATAGGAATGTTCAGCAGCAGAAAGAACATCCTTGTCCACAGACACAGGAAGCACCAATCGGGGTTCCGTTTTATAACTCAGGATTCACATTTTAAGTATCCTTATTAGCTTCCTTTCAGGCCAGATTGGGCATTGGAAACAACCTAAAGGGACTTGATTTGCGTGACTTAGAAAATGTGTATTGAACCCAAGCTAGCTAATATTTTTCTTTGGTTCTGGTTTCAAATGGGGAAATATGCTTAATTATAGCTTGCATCATCGCTTGAAAATTGTAGCATTTATATATTGATGTAACTTGCTTGACTGTAAAAGGAGGACTATGTATAAGTAAAGGGGCATATGTAAATGGATCCAAATCATGGTTGGCAAGGCAGAAAAGCCTAAAAGAAAAGAGGAAAATCACATTACTTGCCAAACGTTTAGGGGCTGCATGCCAAATATTGCCTTCACTTCCTCCAAATCTGCTGCTGGGTTTGGTCTTCAGCCTTTTACATAAAACTCCTTTTAAGTTTAGCCTTTAAAACTTTAGGGGAGAAGTGGGAGAGACTGAGTGTTTTCAGCACAATTATTTCTAGGAAAACTGCATAGTAGCTTTTTCAGCGTGCATTTTAAATAGGGATTGGACTTAATTTTATATTTAAATATTTTGGTATGAACGTGAGTAATTTCTACAGATTTTGACCTACAGGTCACCTTGGGAATTGTTTCCATTCTCAAGTGCAAAGATTTACATCAAAGTAGCCGACTGCATCAGCTATTAGCTATTAACTATATTGGCTATTAGCCAAATATATTCGCTATTGCCACATGATGCTATAAAACAAGATTCCAAACTCAGTGATTTAAATCAAAAGTAATTTATTCCCATGAAACTTTGTGTGAACTGGGGGTATGTTGATACAGACTTCATACTGATTATGTGGCTGTGCTCCCAGTTCCAGGTCCAGCTGGGCTTGGCTGGGCTACCTCTGCTTCCTGAATATTTATTCTGGGGCCCAGCTAAAGGAGAAGCATTGCCCAGGGGAATCTCCTCTCTTGGCAAATGGCACAAGTACAAGAGAAAGTTGATATGCATGAAGTTGCTTAAGGCTTACGCCCAGAAATGACACTCTGCCACCTCTGCTCACATGTTATTAGCCAAAGTAGGTTGCAAGGAGTAGGCCAATGTCAAGAAGTGGGCAAGTACACTTATTTATCTATCTATCTATCTATCTATCTATCTATCTATCTATCTATCTATCTATCTATTCATTCATTCATTCATTCATTCATTCACTTAGCAGGAAACACTGCAAAGTTGCCTTGGAAAAGAAGTGGGTTCAGAGTGGTATGAAAGGAATAATAATGCAGCCTACCAGATGAACCTCTATGAGAATTGTGTGTTCTCTGGTGATGATATAAGTCCATTATCAATTGCCAATCAAGGCAAGGAACTTCAAGATGCATGTGGTCATATTCCTTTAAAAGCAAGAAAAATATTTTCGTGGAGACTTCTCTAATGTATGGCTGAATGCAAAGTGTTTTGGATAGGGAAATCAGAGACTAAGGTTTTCATTACTAGCCATGTTTGCATTTTTATATACCACTACTTCTACTACCATCAGCACAAATTTTAACAATTGATTTTAAATGAGTAAATAATATTCAGAATAATTTATATGAGCAAGATACTTTATTTACTTTTATGCATTTAATGAAGAATAGCTATAAAAGGATAAGTGTTTTAAAATTGTGTTTATATATTTTTTAATCATGATCTTTGAATTTGAACATCAGTAACTAAAACAAAATCTTGGACTTTGAAAGAAAAATAAGCCTAGTTGTTCTTTTCAGTTACTAGCATTTGTACCTCTTTTTTTTCAAGAGGGAACAATTTTACTGTTGATTCCAAACCTACTTAGCTTCTTCTCCTCTGAGCCGCTTTCAGATGGTCATTGGTTTGTAGAGGTTGAGTTGAGTAACAGTTCATCATGCCTAATGTCCCATTATTGATCTCTTCTCTCCACAGATTGATGCTCTGCCAGAAATCGTAGAGGCCGTTGAAGGGAAGGTGGAAATCTTCCTGGACGGGGGTGTTCGGAAAGGCACGGATGTCCTGAAAGCTCTGGCCCTGGGAGCCAAGGCTGTGTTTGTGGGGAGGCCAATCATTTGGGGCTTAGCTTCTCAGGTAATTAGAGGACAAAGAAATAAACATATAAAACAGGATGATTTGACAGTGAAATAAATACATGAAACAAGTCAGAATGACTTACCCGGAAAATCTGTATCTTTTACCTGCTTAGGGAGAGAAAGGTGTACAAGATGTCCTTGAGATTCTAAAGGAAGAATTCCGTTTGGCCATGGCTCTGAGTGGTAAGACTTGTTGCTTCAGTTTACAACTTTCTTTTCTTCTAGTGGTCTTTAAGCCAGGCTCTTGGGTAGGGAAAAAAGTGAATTTGAGGAGCAAGAAGATGGAATCATTAAGAGGTGTCATTAAATTTGAAGTTGGCTCCTGTTCCACCTGCAGACTCTCCAAACTTAGTTCACGTTAATACCACGGTTTCAGTTGCTCTGCTCAAAATCTTGAGTCATTCTTGACTCCTCCTTTTCTTCATACCCTCACACCCACAGGGGCTCTATCTATAAAATGTAATCGGAATCTGACCTTGCCCACCACCTTCGCTGCCATCACTCTGGCCAGAGTCATCATCATCTCTCTTTATCTTGGATACTGTGACAGTCTTTCTGTGTATCCTCCTCCTCCTCATGTCTTTCCCCTTGGGTATTGCAGGTCCGTCTGTCTATCTTGCCTTCCTCCTCTTCCCAGCCTATTCTGATCATGGTAGTCAGCAGGATCTTTTTAAATGTTATTTCAGATCATGGCTCTCTTCTGATCAGAGCCCTTTGATGGCTCTGAGTTTACTTAGAGTAAATGCCAAAGTGCTTGCAATACTGCACAAGGCCTTATGTGGTTTGACCTCTGTCGCCTCTCTGACCTCAACTCCTACTACTGTCACTTTGGCTTATTCTACCCAGGCCTCATTTATCTCCTTGCTATTCCTTGACTATGCCAGACATGTTTCAGCCAGAGGGCTTTTACACTGGCTATTCCCTCTGCCTGAATGCTCTTTCCTCCGATATATACATGGCTAACTCCCTCACGTTCTTCAAGTCACGCTTACATTGTACCTTCTCAGACGGTTCCATCCTGACCACCCTATTTAAAATGACTTTTTTTTTCTACCCACCAACTCAACTTTCAGTTTTCTTTCTCTCTTATTGTTTCATTCTTTTACCAAAGCACCTATCACTTTCTATAGATGATCTATTGTATAATTTATTTTTTAAATTACATGTAATATGTGTTATTTCTTTCTAGAGTGTAATAAGCATGAGGCAGGGATCTTTGTCTATTGTTTTCATTGAAGTGTTCCCAGTATCTAGAGGAGTGCCTGGCACATGAACAATATTTGCTGAATGAACAAATAAATAATAAAGCTCTATTATTACTAGTAACTGTTTTAAATTTAACTCAGATGAACCTCTAGATGCAAAGAATGGCTTTGAGTTAATTATCGACTGTCCCACTTTTGGAAGTAAGGAGGGTTTCCTTTTCTGTGACCCATATCACTCAGATTATCCCCATAGATAGAATCCTCAGTATCAGTGGTCTACTCACTGCTGTGCTGAGCCTGTGTGGACACAGCCTCAGTGAGAAGAATGTCATTCTGTGAATCCTTACTATACATTTTAATTTGCTATAGACAAATCCTAAAAGAGAGCTTTCAGCTACTGACTCTCTATTAAATGTGGCAGAAAGAATATACTCTTTGTGTTAATAAAAATATGTGCCAGTCATTTTGTGTTAAGGGCTGTTTAGGTAATAAAAATGGTCTCATGCCACATAAGATTTGGCAAGGCTACCTTGAATCATAAACTTTACATTTGTCAAGTTTTACATTCCTTGGGAAAACGATTACCTGCCTGATTATTATTGCATTCATTTCATATTAAATGTATGCATTATTTTTTCAGGGTGCCAGAATGTGAAAGTCATCGACAAGACATTGGTGAGGAAAAATCCTTTGGCCCTTTCCAAGATCTGACAGTGCACAATATTTTCCCATCTGTATTATTTTTTTTCAGCATGTATTACTTGACAAAGAGACACTGTGCAGAGGGTGACCACAGTCTGTAATTCGCCACTTCGATACAAAGGGTGTCGTTCTTCTCCAACAAAATAGCAATCCCTTTTAGTTCATTGCTTTTGACTTTTCAATGGGTGTCCTAGGAACCTTTCAGAAAGAAATGGACTTGCATCCTGGAAATATATTAACTGTTAAAAAGAAAACATTGAAAATGTGTTTAGACAACGTCATCCCCTGGCAAGCTAAGTGCTGAAAACAAAAGCTATCCTTCGGTAAAATTAGAAGTAGCTAACGTCGAGGGTGAGAAGATAATGATCTCACTGTTTATTAACCTGCATTGTGTTTAGATATCCTTAAAACAGTGTTCTGAAATTGTAAGTTCAGGTTCAAAAGGTTGGCCATGCCTGGAGAAACAGGCAACTTGAATTCAGAACACTGAGGAGGTAGCACTTGATACCTCCTCAAAAGATAGAATCGGGATGAATTGGTAGGAATTTGTGATTTTCTAGATACATTTTAATGCCCTGGGTTATGCTCCTTTGAATGTAGATTTCCATTCGCACCTTTAGTGTCTGAATATTATCTGAATATTTTGTGATGTATATTACTTTTTAATTAGAAAGAAATAAAGCTTTTTTTTTGAAAATAATATATCTGGTTTATTTGGAACAATATGGAATTCAACCATTTTAATCTGTGAATGATAATTACCACCCTGTTCCCCTGACACATACCCCATTAATTCTCATACCTCCTAATTCCTCTTCTTCATTCTTTTGCTTCTTTCCACAGTCACATGCAATGCCAACTACATTATTTGTGAGGATCATGTCAAATGAAAATGTTGACCCTTTGTTCAAAAAGCAGGAAAAAAGCATTTTCTTTTCCTCCATGGTTTCTCTCTTAACCTGTCATGGTATCTTATTTGCTATGTAGTGTCATGTTTCCTTGGGCACGGGGCTACTCACAGTGTAGACCTTCACAGATGTGTGAGGCACCATCTGTGACCTGCCCTGACTCCTCTGTGCCCGGGTCCAAGACCCTTGGGGTGGAGGGTGGAGCTGTCACTGGGCAGATGGGTGAGCCAGCAGCCAAGGACTTATTCAGAGGAGGTGGGGAAATGGTGAGAGATGGGAAAATGTGTGATTCTAGGCTCCAAGTCCCCAGCACATGTCCCTTTAGCCATTACTTGTAAAACATGAACTCAAAGATAAAATTATTAAGCATTTCAAGCCATTAACCACAGAGCATTAAACTCAAGCATGAGGCCCCCTTCTGAGTGTGGAGTCCTGTGCAACTGCACTGGTTGTATGCCCACAAAGCTCGGGTCACGTGACTCTTAGATTCATTCCCAAGCCAGGCATATGACAGATTGTAGGTGAACTTAATAGCCAATGTAATTTTGAAATTGATTTTTCACCAGTTGTTAAACCACTGTGAAGTATTGAGTAAAACAATTGAGAGAATCACTACCTTAAAATAAGATTGTTATATTTTATTGTTTTATTATTATGGTTTTTTTCTCATCTCTCTCTCTCTCTCTCTCTCTCTCTCAAAATGTTAGGGTGTTCCTAAATACTCTGATGGACACAAATATAGATCTTTCTGAAATTATATCTAGGTCTGATAGAGAAGAATCATTCGGTCTTATGAAAAGTAGTTATTACCCCTTCACATTTTCTCCAAATACAAAGAGGGAATATTACTGTCACATTATGTAGTTGTTTTATGTTTCCAAATTAATATTAATCAGTTAATAAGTACAAAATAAGCACTTCTTTGATTTTCCTCAGCTGATTCAGAAATTTCTTTGCTGTTGGCAAAGAATATCCATTTAGTCTACATCATAGTATGTGGTTGGATGGTGACTTGGCTAAAAGCTTGGTAACATCCCACAGCAAATGGAGATCCACATATTGTGTTATAAGTAAATTTTATTTAAGTTATATGAGAATGGGGATTCGTAGTCTTAATTTGTGAATTTCTAGGTGTTTTATGACCCTCAGAGCCTTCTTTCTCCTTGAATGTAGATTTTTTTCTTTAGAGTTATAATATAACAATGCTTTATGGTGTATATTGTTTTCATAATCAGAATGATATAAAGTTGTTTTTTACTTTTTATTCTGAGAGTGTTTCCAGTCCATTTATAACAATACTAAAGCTATCTTATGGCTAAGATAGGAATGGGGTTTATTGGTTCTCCATGCATTTCTGGAGATTTTGTTGATTGAAATTGATAGAAAGTCTTTGAGGAAGCAATCAACTTTTCTATTCCTGAGTTTCCTGAAATACATTGGGGGTAGGGTACTAGGGACTTGATAGTCTAATACAGACCAAGTCTACTTTTCTTGTATGCTATTTAATGTACGTAGTGCTCTAGAGCAATGTTTTTCAATCTGCAAGTGCATCATCATCTCTGGGGCGGCATGGGGGTTGGGGGAAACCTGTTAAAACAGATTGCCGGGCCTCACTCCCATAAATTCTGACTCAGCAGGTGTAGAGTGAGGCCTGACAACCTGCATTTCTAACATGGTCTCAGGTGAAGCTGATACTGCTCGTCTAGGCATCATACTTCGGGCACTACTGGTCTGTTGGGCTAGTCTAGAGCAATGACCATCAAGTCAGATTTGCTAAGCAGATCACGTAATGAGCTGGCTATTGGGTGTGAGACATGCCCCACCTACAAAAGCCAACTTCTCCTTAGCCAATTGATTCTTTTCACTGAATTTTATATTTCTTGTTGAGATATAGACTACTTTATAGTGAGGTATGTAAATGCTCTAACCTAAATGCATGGGTGGATACATTTTACGTATTCATCCATGTGACCACCACCACCCAGATTAAGATCTAGAACATTTCCATCATCCCGAAAGTGTCTCCTCTACCAGAAGTAAATTTATGCTAACTTCCATTGCTATTGATTAGTTTTGCCTGTTCTTGACCTCATACAGGTGGAAATATATAGTACATATTTTTGTTTTTGGTTTCTTTTGCACAATGCATATGAAGTCCATTCATGTTGTTGAGTATATCAGTAGTTCTGTTTATCGGTCTGTAGCAATTCACTATAGGAATATACCACAATTTATCCATTTTCCTATCATTATACGTTTGGATTGTTTGCAGTTTTTCTTCTAGCAGCCGATTCCAACTAATTTTTGTGAAAATGCAAGTCTAGTATTATTTTCTGATTTTTCAAGGAAAATTAGACATCTACATTTTAAGTAAAGATTTTAAATGTTGGAGAATATTTAGCATTTGAACACTGAGAAGGTCATGTTAAAGATGGCTGTTGCTCATGTTTGGCTCAGGAGTCTCAAGTTCTCTATGCCTATAGCATTTTGTTCTCACAGATGTTTCTCTCATAACTAAAATCACTCTAATGCCCTTACAAAGAATCATGCCTGAAACATGTAGCAGTGATGGGTGCCTGCCAACAGAATTTGCCAGAATCTCTTTTAAGTTTGCTTATATTCTGCTACCTGGAAGAATGTGGGTGTGAAATAAACTTCCTTCTCTCCATCAGGTTCCCAGGCCTGTAGGACTGAATCAAACGGTATAGATGCTTCTCAGTGTGCAGTTTACAAAACTGCATCTGTGTCATTGCTATGTTATTCATTCATTTGTTTATCTTGTCAAAACATTGCCATTTGTGAAACAGCTTTAGAGGGCTTTGGTGGTTAGTATGAAGGGAAGTTGTGGCTTGTTCTCAAACCGAGAGAAAAGACTTTTCATTGTAAAATTCATAATTTATTTATTGTCTGATGGACTGTACTGGATGTCAGTTGCATAGCAACAAAATAAAGTTTGTCTGTTTAGGAAAAGTCTGAAGGTTTCTTATAACATAAAGATAGAGGATGCTTTCTGAACTATATTTGCTTCAATGTGCACTCCATCACATGCCAATTATAGAATGACATCAGGATGAGAGTTTATTTTAGGTAATGTAAATGTTAACCCAAATGGTAGAAGGCTATTATTATATGTTTATGTGATGGAAACTCTTATCTATTTTAAAAGATGCAATTTCCTGTCCTTATCCAAATCTAACTTGAGCAATAGTTATCTTCTTTCCTTCCTAAAGCGGTTGCCCATAGTTGGTTGGAGAAATAAGAAATGCTTATTTTTATTCAGTTATCAGTTTCTCTACTGAAATCTTTCTGAATATTATTTTAGCTAACGAGCATAGGTTCAACTGGAAATTTTCCAGGATCTTCTGAAAACCAAGAATTGTGTTACCTTGAGTGATGCTAAAACAAGGACTGGAATTCAGGTGAGCAATAAATGTGATTTTGTTTCTTCCATTGATTCAGCATCATTGAGGAGAAGATTCTGGTTTACTCTCCTACTTGTATTTTCTGATTTAATCATCTCTTTAATGTTGATTTTTTTTTTCCCATTATGGTCAAACTCTTCAGTCTGTTTCTAATAATGAGATCTTCTTATTCATAGAGTTGTTTATGGTAATGTGCTTCAGATTATATGTTAGAGCTTCATTACTAAGCTCACTAAATGAAGGTCAAGGCCAATCTTGAAGATCTGTGTGACTGGCCAGGTGAACCATTATTTCCCCTTAGGACCCTCAGATTCTCAGCTGTGAAATGAGGACGTGGCATGGTGAAATATGTGAGAATATATCATGAATTATACATCAATGCTTAACTTCTTATTAACAATAATTATTATCAGGAGAGATAATATAACAAGTTCCAATATGTACTTTGTTTTATAGTATTTATTTTAAAAAATTAAATTTTTAATAAAACTGGTTAAAGATTTCAAGCAGTTCACAGACTAAAAATAAAAATCACCACAGATTTTACTACATACAGATCATTGTTATTTGTATTAGGCTTAGGAATACCATTTCAGACATTACTGTATGTGTATAATAAATAGTAGCTGGGTAGATGATAGGTAGATAGATGATATATAGGTAGGTAGAAATGGCTTTACTAAAATAGGACTATTCAATAAATGTTACATTTAAGTAAAATATTCAATTTAGTTTTACTTGAATTTAGAAGAGAAAGTTAAATTCAAG